CATAGTTATTCAACATTTATATACTTAAAGAAGGGATCACCATGATAAGTCCAGCAACCGTCTCACACCGTACCATGCTATCACAATATTATTGACTGTATTTCCTATGCTGTACATTATATCCCCATGACTTATTTGTTTTATAACTGGAAATATGAACCTGTTATTCCCCTTCACCTTTTCCCCCTTTTTAAATTTTTAATTACAGTTGACACTCAATATTATTTTATATTAGTTTCAGGTGTACAGCCTAGTGGTTAGACATTTATATAATTTAAGAAGTGGTCCCCTGACTAGTGCAGTACTCACCTGACACTGCACATAGTTATTACTCCATTTGACTATATTCTCTAGGCTTTACTTTACATCACCATGACTATTTTGTAACTACCAATTTGTACTTCTTAATGCCTTCACCTTTTTCACCCTGCCCCCAACCCCCTTTTATCATCCCAACAAACCTAGTACTCATCTGACACCATACAGTTATTACAATTTTATTGACTATATTCTTTATGCTATACCCTACATCCCCATGACTAGTTTGTAACAACCAATTTGTACTTCTTAATCCCTTTCCCTTTTTCACCCACCCCAATCCCCCTCCCATCTGGCAACCATCAGCTTACAAAAGCAATTTTCAAGTGTGACTGACTTTGAGTCAGTTTGAGAACAAGCCCATTACAATTAGATTACTTGAGTATATGGAAGATTGTTACCTAGCTCCCAAGGATTTCCATTTTCACCTCTTCTCAGGAAATACAAAAAGAAGAAGAGAAGGTAAATAAGTAAATGGAGAGTGTTGGCACAGACCTAAAAGGTAACTTCCGACAGTAAATATTTTATGTGGGAACCATGGGCTAGAATTTAGGAAGACTCATTTGCCTCCTGTGAAATCAGCACAGACAACCGTCATTTGGGGAGCATCATGTTAGATGAAAGATAAAAATTTTTTAGAGTTTGTGATACTTTCAAAAATATGTTGCCCCAGGATATTTATCATTACTTTAGGGATTCCAAAAATCCATTACTTTGGGGATTACTTTAAGATCCTTTCTTTACCATTTCCTCTTTTTTTTTTTTAAAGCAAGCATTAAAAAAATGCAAAACAATAGAAATACAAAAAGGCTTACATTATTTTTTTAATATGTGAAATAGGGGTAATCATACCTACCTCATAGGCTTAATATATTAAATGAACGAAAGGGTTCAGTCCATGGCATGTGTCCAGCACACTGCCTGGGATACATAACTAACGGTAGCTGTTGTATGTCGCATACTGCAGGCTCCCCTCCATTCAA